CAACCTTTGGGTTACGAGTCCGACTCTCTAACCATTAGGCCACGACTTCCCCTGAAGATGATAAAAGTATCATACTTTTTATTCATATTGTTAGGTGTATTACAGGTCTTTAATGCCTAAGATGGGAAAATATGATTTGATGGAAGTTTGATATGTGCCTAATGATGTGGGGTATTTAGAAAATGAATCATATGTGGTTGAAAAAAATATTCCAAGTTGAAATATTACCGAATCCCAGGAATGACCCTCAAATATTTTTGCATAATGCCATGATGTTGTGCTATTTTCATAACTCTTGTATCCCTCCACAGACTTGTTTAAAATAATAGATAACTCACACGTGCTTGCATCTTAAAACAGTTTGCAGTAAAATTGTACTTCAGTATTGATTTTAATATATAAGGTAAGCATAAAAATTCATCTTGAAGGCAGTTACTGTGCAATATTTGCATCTGCTGAGAAAATGCAATATAGGCTATAGGAACACAGAGATATATAGAAACAGATTTATAGAACTCTCAGATTCAAGGAGTTTGAAAAGAGGGGACTTCAAAATATTCCTGAAATCAAGTGAAACCTTTTAGACAGGAACAACCGTGTTTACCGAGCACACAAATAAATATTTCACACTGATGCCCACTTAAGCTAGGTCCTGAAGTGCTGTCATCTTAAATAAGGGGTTTCAGTGTTGTTCTCTGAAAATCTCCCTCAGAGCCTGAACTTCAAGGGGAAATGCAAGGACAACTGATTTACACTGAAACTACAGTACATCCCTTTGTTGTAATAATTTAAGATCGACATTGTAAATCCATAATGAATAATTAAAAATGTTTTTTTTTTTTTTTACATTTATATATAACAGTTGTTTTTCTTCACATGTGCAACCTTCCCTTGATGTCCATGATGGGAAGACAATGGCATTACTGGAATTTTGTGTTTATTTCTTAAAAAGACAAAACAGTTGTAGAATATGAACATTTATGCACAGACAGAGAGAGACGGAGAGGGAAATCACTGGAACACAACAGTATCCAACATTGCTGCGAGGCACTGCACAATATTGGATGTCATAAGAACATCCACATGCTCTTCCAAATGCCGTTTGGGATCCTACAAAGAGAAAGAGAATAGCAGGTCCATGAAGTCCTGTAAACCTTTGAGACTACAAAAGGACGTCAGATATTTTGAACTGCTGCCACTGATGAGTATTTGCCAGGTCACCTACAGTTTTACAATTTGTCAACCGGTAGAGATTTTGGACAATCGTCTCAATTGCGGTTACACACACATGTGATACTGCTCTGCTACGTGGTCACGAAAACATATCGTTTGCATGCCTTTTTAAGCATTGCGGTTTAAAAACAAGTGATTTTAAGCCGTTGAAATGCAATCAGCAGCAAAAGAGAACTCATTTCACTACATGTGAAGCACGGGAGTATGGAGTTATTTTTGACGCTTTATAGGCCTTGAACGGTATCCTTGGAAACACAGTAGGTCTAACAGAATCCGGGCAGCTCTTAAAGTGACAGCAGTCTAATATTCCTGCTGTTAAGTGAAAGCAGACAGCTGAGAAAGAAAACACACATGTACAGTAACAGTACATTGGATCCGCGTAGCTCTTAAAGTGACAGCAGTCTATTCCCACTGTCTGTCATTCATGTTAATCAAACAACAAACGAGAGAACATTTCTCACTGCTAAATCACTTTTGTAACTTTAATAAGAAATATGTGTTTAATTTACACAGTGAAGAATATGCAGTGTTTTTTGTACATTTGATTACTTTATACAATGCATGTAGTAGTTCTTATTTATTTATTCTACAATGTTTTTGTCCTATTGCTTGTAATTAGTTTCTTAGTTTCAGTGAGCTTGAGTTTTAATTTAGGCTAGTATTAGTTTTTTGTGATATTGACACTGGTGACAAGAATAATGGAATTTCTATGGTATAAAAATGTTGATATAATAAAGACATTATTTAAAGCAAAAATAATAAATAATAAATCTTGTGATATCGTTACCGTGCAATAAAATTACTCATATCATGATATAAGATTCTGCTCATATCACCTACCCCTACCACCAACAATATAAAGATGGAAACAAGAACAAACTAATGACCTGTTTTCCAACGTTCTTAATGGCAAGTTGCTCAGGAGTCATCTTGTCTTCTTCCTCTACAGCCTAAGGGACAAAAACAAAAAAGGAAGAAAA